ATATATATATATATATATGTGTGTACCCGTTGTTTGTAACCACATATAAGCTAATTCGGTTTGAACAGAATATGGCGCATGCTGGGAATCGTGTGTGTACATGTGTCGGATTTGATTCGCGCCAGGAAAATACCATATGATCTGAATAGAATTTAATATCAATAAACAAATTTTGTTCTCTGACAAGTTGATTGGGGTTGACCGCGATATATAAGATATAAAGTAAACTTTTCACTCGGTGTCACACCTGCCAGGTTCATCACATGTTTGATCTGGAAGGTATTATCATAGTCCCTAAGTGCAGATTCGCGTCGCATAGAATGTCAGCGGCTGTCCCTAACAGGTAAACATGTGGTTGAGGTAGCTTCGTGTAGGAAGCGGTATAAGCGCTCTATTCTCATATCCACAAGAGAAGAAAAACCCCAAAGCAGCACACCTAATCTTGATATTAATTGATGAAGTACCGAGGAGAATAAACAATAATGTGGCTTCTGGTTCTGATTCGTTTTTACAATGATAACATTTTGTATGTTCTTGGAGATAAAAACTGTTCAACTCTGGCGGCAATTCCTTTTTGGGATGCTTCAGGCATTGGACCTAACTCATGCCCTTTAAACACCATGAGAGACATACTGGCTAGTCTGGGTAGAAATAGTCCCTTGCGACTGGGTATAGTAAATACCCATGTAAAGAAAATTCTCTCTCTATCAGAACGGCCAACTCGTTCTAAATGCGATAAAAGGCTTTTAACTTCTGTTTGAATTTCTGGGATGAGGCATTATCATTATTTACACTACGAGGGTCGGCGGAAAAATTAACAGGCTGGTAAAGATACTCTCAAAGAATATGATCAGGTCAGGTTTACTTTTCTTTTTCTTTTAGTCTACCTTGCGGTCCAAATACTTCTTCAATCGGTGTTGCAGTGCTTGGGTTCCATTTGTGAAGAAGTTGTCATCCTGTTGGCTAAAGAACCGTCAGCAGCGATACTGGTCCCTAGCCAAAGGTTTTTTCATGTTGGGGAACAGATGATAGTCAGATGAGACTAAATCAATAGAATGCGAACAACCAGTTCAAAACCAGCCGCGTAAAACAGCCATTGAAATCAAAGTCTTGTGTGCTGGAGCATTGTTTTAATGAAACAAGACCCCTTTCTTCAGTTTTTGATGGATGACGAAGCAAGGTTTAGGAGAGATAGCAAAAATACAACATTTATTAAACGCTACAAAGGACAGGAAAATGTGGAGAACGTTCTGATGGGACATGGCGTAGAAGAAAAACGTTCACAAAGCACGTGTTGATGTGTTTTAAATACATTTTTTTAAAATCATTTCCCCCAAGGCAAGGCAATAAAGCCACTAAGACGCAAGGAGAGGGTTACTTAGTGTGAAAGAATATAAGAAAAAAAAACATTAAGGAGAGAGAACAATAAAAGAACAGGAATTAAGACGACAAAACATAACGATTGAAATTGTATTTACTTTTTTGGAGATCAAACATGACTGGAAAGCGAGAAGGGAGTTCCAGAAGCGACAGTTGCGATAAAAGAAACTCTTAGCATATAACATAAGTTTACATCTAGCCAATTCAACTATAAATAGATGAGACCTAGTTGCCAATCTAGTACTGCATTTAAATTCATAAAATCGAGGAAAGTTCCTCAGAACAATTATCATGAAAGTATTTATTTAAAATGTACAGGTAAGCGACGTTACAGCGATGGGAAAATGATTAAAGCCGAGATGCCAGGTCAGGACTGAAAATATTGCAGAAAACCGCCATTTCATGTCACCCCACAAGTACTCTAATCCCAACGTCTCTTGTGTCACGGAGCCTTTGTGCAGGATAAAGGATTTTCGTATATCTCTAAGAATTTAATGTTTAAAAATACACATGAAAAAAGAATAACATTTTTTAATACAGACTATTTGCAAAAAATGAAGTCAAACTTAATGACTAAGAAGCAGCTTTTGTTTAGAAGGGCAACGTTTTTAAAAGTGATTCTTTTCTAATTAAATACTGTATTAGTTTAATTGCATTTTTCATTTTACTATTCAGAATCGATTTTCAGTAAATGAGTAATTGTTTGAAAAAAAGAATTGATGATTTACATTCCACAAATAGTCCTGCTTTTAACTTAATATAAATAGGAAGTAGGGCAAAGTTTAATTTCTGGAAATTAGAGTAAGGGAGTGTAACATGTAAAAAAAAAAAACATATTTCTATGAAGATTTGCTAGAACAAAGCTTGTTAAATAATTTCATTCATTTATGAATAAGTTCTGATAGTTTCATTAAAATCCGATAGTAATTTGATTTTTGCAAGAATTTCTAAATCACTACAAAACTTTACCAACATTCTGGAACAGATTTAAAAATAATTTATAAAATAATCAAAAAATACTCTGGACTTTCCTCTTAATAATAAGAAACATGTTGATAATAAGAGTTTGTCTTTATCAAGTTTGGGGCCTTTTTTTCATCATGGTATGATCCTTTTTTCAATCAAGTTATTGGAGGTTCCTAAATATTTTTCTTTTTGCAAAGATGAGTAAAACCGGAAATCTTATGAAAATATTTCAGTTTCAATTTGGATGTATTCTTTGTATAGTTTAAACCAAAACTTTGATAAATCAATTTTTTTGGTACGTGGTTCAAAATTTTTATTTTTCGTTTAAAAATAGTTTTCTTTTATTCTTCATAGTAAAAAAAAAAAACAAAAACAAATAATAGTCAGACCGGCGGAGTTTCCGGGTCTCACTCAGGGAGCCCACTTTGGAAAACTGCCCTAACCGATTAGGATCTTCGAGGCAACATGTTCTGAAACCTTAGCAACAATGGCAAAATTGCATGACTATGCCAAACTAGTTTCGAATTGTTTTCCTTCTCCTAGATTGATCTCCCTCAAAGGCAAGAACCAGTCTGCACTGGTGGATGAAGATGAATTTGTGATTTTTTTTTCAAAGGTGAAGTGATACAATCCGCGTCTCCTGTAGTTTTAAACTATCAGGTCATCCCATAAGTTCTGTCCGAATTTTGAATAAAGAAAACAAAAACAAAAAGACTTTGAGCGAGTCAAGACTGAGGCACTTGGCATAGATCATTCTTCTTTGAACCTTGTGAACTGGCCATACAGAGTCACAAAGAACTGTACCAAATAACAGTAATTGCATCACTTGAAGACTACCAGCAGCAGCAACAACTAAAATGGATAACTCACATAACTTGAAGAGAAAATAATTGCATAATCAAAATGTTAACATTCCGCACAAAGGCTCGGTAGGAAAACCACCATCAATATAGGAAAATCGATAAAAGCTAACATTTTTTTCCTGAAAAATTATTTAAAGAGAAAGATTTTATAAGGGAAACGGCTAATGTTACTATTACCATTACGATATGCGCAGTTGTTAATGGCGTAAGCACGTGGCTATATTTACATTTATACAAATGTTTCATTTATACAATATATTTCATAATACTAAATGAAAAAAAACTCTATTAAAAAAAGGGTTGGTTAAAATTTAAAAGCGCATCCTGGCAAGGGATATTGGTCAACACGGCTAGTCTAGTTGAGCATTAATACTGAGTCGTGAATTCGATCCTCACGGGGTGTTCACACAAAATACAACGTCAAATAAACGCAACAAGGACCATGTCGTAAAATCAACTAAACTAATTACAGTAATTTACCCATGCACGCATGGACTATCCCAGCTATAAATAAGAGCAGGTACTGCCTTTTAGAGGAAGGTAGTCAGCTCTGATAGTCGGACCGAATATTCTTGCTGTAACACTCTCGTTTGTATTACTGTTAAGAAACTCAATTCTCCTCTTGTGTCTTTATTTCTTGCCCTAACAAGGCCACAACACTAATGTAAGATTCTACTGGACATAAAGTGAGAGATTTGTTGGCTATTGATATTAGAAAAAAGAATATAATGACTGACATAATCATGACGCCAACATTTCACACTACTTCAAATAAAAAGTTCGGATGGATCGGTCAATGTAATCGTTATGTTTCCTTATAGGGAAACGGCTAATATTGCACTTATTGTTACCATTACTCATATCTCACTCCTCTTTCACTCCCTCTACACCCACTGTATCCCAGTGGCATTATCGCCTTGTTTGGAATGGAATGATTTGAAAATACAAAAAAAACTTTGAAGATACACATCTTCAAATAAGTTTTCCGCCTGAATTTCAATTCTATTTCTCAGAAAGCAAATAAAATCTTCTCTTGCGCAATTGTACAGTTTATAGGATTTTTTTTTGTATTTTTCTCTATCAAGCGGCATTTCCACGTTAAAAGCGTTAACTTCAAAATCCTAAACGTGGATACTGAAGAATTCAATTTTGCGCTTCAGAGATTTAATATATATCAGAAAAATACGCATACTACAGTAACAAACACTTATCTCTGTGAAGAGGCTATATAAATAAAAACACTGTTGAAAATTGAATTTGATAAACATGTTGGAAATCAAATTTAAAATGACTTTGTGCCATAATATTGATATTTTTGTGTCTTTGTGAATCTATTGAGGATTTCTTGTCATTTTTATGCGTTTCAAGATCAAAATAAGCTGTTTTTATTTCCTTATGTATTTATTTATTTTTTACTTACAAAATCGATTTCAGATTTGCAGAATCTCTCGTGCATATGTGCAAGCAATTAAGAAAGAAAGAAAAAGAAAAAAACGTTTATGCACCGAGGCTATTCTATCATCAAGGGCACTAGAGTTAAAATAATTATTTCCTATGTATTTTATTTTCACTTGTTTATAAAAATATTCTTTATTTCTTCTATACTATATAAATTCTCTGTCGTTTTAATATAGCTTTATTTCCATTATGTAGTCAATTTCCACTCCGTTTAATACTGTGGTTATATCTATCTATCTATCTATCTATCTATCTATCTATCTATCTATCTATCTCATTTTATTCATTATCTCTCTATATACTTCTCTAATTTTATTCATTATCTGTTTATAGGTCTCATTTTATCCATTATCTATCTCTATTTATTCCTTTTCCATCTATCTATCTATCTATCTATCTATCTATCTACCTATCTATCTATCTATCTATCTATCTTATTTTATTCATTATCTCTCTATATACTTCTCTAATTTTATTAATTATCTGTTTATAGGTCTCATTTTATCCATTATCTCTCTCCATTTATTCCTTTTTCTGTCTGTCTATCTATCTATCTATCTATCTATCTATCTATCTTATTTTATTCATTATCTCTCTATATACTTCTCTAATTTTATTCATTATCTGTTTATAGGTCTCATTTTATCCATTATCTCTCTCCATTTATTCCTTTTCTATCTATCTATCTATCTATCTATCTATCTATCTATCTATCTATCTATCTATCTCATTTTATTCATTATCTCTCTATATACTTCTCTAATTTTATTCATTATCTGTTTATATGTCTCATATTATCCATTATCTATCTCCGTTTATTCCTTTTCTATCTATCTCTCTATCTATCTATCTATCTATCTATCTATCTATCTATCTTATTTTATTCACTATCTGTCTATCTATACATAGGAGAAACCTCTAAGAATCTAAATAAAAGATTATACGAACATAAAAGGAACATTTTACAAAATAAGACGCCAAATGCGTTGGTTGCCCACCGGAAGGGGACTGATCACAATTTTGACATAAAAACGCAACTCTGGTAAAAGAAGAAAACAATTCACTACGATGGAAATTTCTGGAGAGTGCCTTAATCACAAAGTCATCTACAGTAAACTCGCGCACTGGCTCTTACATTTCTTACATTACTGGCAGATCTTCTAATATCACAGTGTGGAATATCTTCTTAAAAAAGTGATAGAATACAAAAGAAAAAAAAATACTCTAAATGAATTCGGATAAATAAAAAAGAAAAAAAAAACTTTCTAAAATCCCCAGCGCCCCTTAGTCGTAGGCATGTGTAGTCCTACCAACATAACAAATTTAGTCCGATGAAGTCCTGAAGGACCAAACGTGTCACAAGTAAAAGTTTCCACTTTGTCATACAATACCCCAATGCTATTATTGATATATATATATATATATATATATATATATATATATATATATATATATATTATTTCATTATCTATCTTATTTTATTCTCGGTTGGTAAATATTGCGTATCGAAAACTCTCCTCTCTCTCTCTCTCTCTCTTTCCACCACACACACACACACACACACACACACACACACACACACACACACACACACATATATATATATATATATATATATATATATATATATATATATATATATTACAATGAATCATTATACAAAAAGTAGATAAGTAAAGTTAATGATATAAAATGGCGAAATCTCAGCGCAAACCAAAATTTAAAAAAGTTGCATTAACCACGAACCCACGATGATCTCTGAATGATCCATAAACGTGTCACTATATACCAAATCAACTTTAGATTAAAACCTTCAGTGCCAACGTTTCCGTTTTTTTTTTCGAATAGAACAATAGTTAATAGTTTATTATTTATAATATCGTTGAAAAGCAGATGTTAGTTATAACAGCGCGCTGAGGATAAAATGAAGACAAGCCACACTTTTTTTTTAAAAGTAGTGGGCATTATTGTGCATTGTTTGACGCTTGCAAAGTAAAATAATAAAAATGTGAACATCTTTCGGTACTGAACATAGTAAGCAGGTATTATTCAGAGATGGTTACTAAAAACCCCAAAAGAGTGGATAAGAATTTTCCCCAAATTACTTTCTTACATATTCGAATATATTTATAGTTTTAAAAAATGTAGCATTTTAGTAATAGGTTTAACGAGCTTTTAATTGTCGAGCTTGTCATATAGAAGCCAGCTGGATCTATATGATAAATGTGAATGCCAGTGTCACACTTTTTTCCACTTAACTCCTAGAGGCCGTAGCTCAACATATCATACCATTTTGGAGTCAGGCCGATTCCATGAGCAAATTAAAAACATTACGGGCCGCTGAGATTTTGGATTTCCAACTTTTCATTTCTACGATTGTTTTCGACGATTTTTTACGTGATTTTTGCGTTGCATTTTTTTGTACGATGAGAATTTTTATAACTTGGAAATAAATTTGGAAATAATCGAATTAATTGTGAAATCCACTGAAATTCGCCCACGAAATAAAATAAATGTTTGTACGGAAAATAAGGACCTACATACATCAAATTGTCTTTGAATTAACTGGTGGCAGAAGAATTATTGTTGAACTTTTAAAAAGTAATCTTAAATATTAATGCAATACTTAAATGCAGCGATCAATTTTGAGTTCTTCTGTTGTTTATCTAATGCCCCCTACCTATTGTGAAGAAAGCCCAATCAAGAGCTCTCCGTAGAGCTAGTATATATAAATGGGATAGTGTTATATACATTTCTATATAAATTTTTATATATCAAGAACAGGTTTGAAAGAAAAGATTATGACAAATTGGAAAAAGATTTTGTGACGCTTTTCATCCGTTAGAACTTCATCGGACTGGGTTTATGTTGTTGTGACTACACATGCGCATGAACGAGAGACGCTAGGAGCTTCGAAATTTAGAAATAATTTTTTTTACAATCTAGCGAAAATTAATCTAGTTTCTTTTTCTTTCCATCATTTTTGTTATTAAATAACCCACATTGGTAATCACAGAAAATATGCCAAGAATCGGGAAACGTTCTAAGAACCTGGACGTAAATTTAATGTTGATGAACAAAAGCGATTAAAGCACTTTCGAGATATTTTTTTATAGGTGAATTATTTTCAGTAGACTTGCATTTTTTGATGTAAAAATTGTGGGCAGTTTTGTTACGGGGACCAACGAATGCGTTTTGCGTATTGTTTTCTTTAAATGTATCTTTTGTATTCCTATAATCTTTTATTTAAACTTCTTGGGGGTTTCTCCAATATATTCTTTCTAGTAATCCTTGCGGATGATAGACTAAATCCCCCCCTTCAGGTTTTGGCTTGTTTTGTTTTGTATTGATTAAATCTTTTATTGTTTTAGATGTGAAAAATATTATGTTTAGATCAATTCTTATATATATATATATATATATATATATATATATATGAATAAAAAAATGACAATAGGAAAACTAGTAATTGCTGACGCACTTCGTCCAATACGCGTCAAGCAATTACTAGTTTTCCTATTAGCATTTTTTTATTCATAAATATTGTCTTCTACTGGTTAAATCGGAGAAATTTTCATATATATATATGTGTGTGTGTTATTGTAGTGTATATAAATATAAATAAATATATATATGTATAATTATTTATATATTATATGGTATTTATTAGAAAGCGCTATCAGAGATAGAGCTAACATATTCAGTTGGATAAAATCTATCAAGCAAATATAATATATATATATATATATATATATATATATATATATATATATATATGTGTGTGTGTGTGTGTGTGTGTGTGTGTTTGTGTGTGTCAGATTGAATAAATTACAAACATTATGTCCACTAAGAGAATTTGCTGTAAACACACACACACACACACACACAACATATATATGTATCTATATATATATATATATATATATACGTGTGTGTGTGCGCGCACGTCTCTTTCTAGAATGTATAATAGTATTTGAAATAAAATTAAAGATGATGAGACAAAGTGAAAAATTTATTAACGACGCGTTTCGCCGAGAGCATCTGCGCTCTTTGGTATCCTCAGGTTAGGATGAAATAAAGACAAATACTGTATGTAAGGAAAAAGATTTATATGTGTTTGTGTGCGTGCCCAATATTAAATTGTTAATACTTTTTCACTAAGCTGGCGCCCGTTAAATTCAATGCAGAAAAGCTGTGTGAATCTTTTACTTTCAAACTGTTCTGAAAAATTGGATAGGGAGTTACCATAAATTCAACGCAGAAGAGCTGGGATAATATGAAAAAAGAATTTCGGTAAAGCAAGAAAAATTGAAAAGAAAAGAGCAATAATTAAAATAATGGCTTTCATACAAATGTCAAACAATTTTGTTCTTTTATCCCAATCTAGGGACGCCATCTTAGCGGATAAAGTATTAACGATTTAATATTGAGGCACACACACAAATACATCCACATATATTTCTTTCGTTCTGATATGAGGAAGCCCATCTGAAGATGGTGAAACGCGTAATCAAATCAATAAAAGTACTTATCAAAATTTATCATATATATATATATATATATATATATATATATATGTTAATAAATTCAATATATTTATCTGACTCCTTATGTCCGGATTTATCTCTGACAAAGTTAGTTGGAAGATAAGTAATTCAATTTTTATTTATTTACTCTCTGTAAAGACGGACTGGATTTGTTGACGTTGTTGTGACTACACGTGCACCTAAACGAGAGATACTGATAGTTTCAAAATTTTTTGAAATAATTTTGGCACTGTAGCCAAATTCTTCTATATTTTTTTCTTTTTCTTTCCATCAACTTTGCTTTTAAGTATCCAAAAACACAAAAGAAAAAGAACATAGATGAATTTGACTAGATTGCAAAAATTTTTTCAAATAATTTTGAAACTAGCACCGTCTCTCATACATGCATAAGAATAGTTACAACAACGCCAACAAACACAGTACGATTAAGTCCTAACGGGTGAAACACGTCACAAATAAACTTCTTTTTACATATATTAAGAACAGTGTTGTGGAAAATGTAAGACAAAATATCTTAAATTTTCTTCAATACTCTTCATGATATATAAAAATATATAACCTTATCTCATAATACAAATAAAAGCACTTAGCTAATTGGTGTTTCCTTCAGCATGCCGACTTCAGAGTTTCATAAACGGACTCTCCGGGAATTATTCCATCCACTCGTAAGGGGGTATCAATAATATATATATATATATATATATATATATATATATATATATATATAAGATTAATACAAATAAAATCTGTCATTTAGATAACTGATGTTACCTTCATCATCCCAACTCTAGAATTTCATAGACTGGCCATCCAGCAATCGCCCCCTCTGCTCGTTAGGGATATCAGCGATTGAATTTTAATTTCAACTTTATTTTTAATTTCCTTTTTTCATATATTTATATATATATATATATATATATATATATATATATATATATATATATATATATATATATATAAACATAAAACATTAGGCAGCATATAATTTTACATACACAGAAATAATCACACATAGAATCAATCAAGTATTAATGCGATTATTGGCGACATCCATCGCTAGAAACATAATATATGCATTAAAATACTGTTAATCCAGTATAGTGATCCTCGTCAATAAACTTGATGTCTGTAGTTTTCAGTTTATTTGATGTTAAAATGCTAGTACTTACGATCCGCAGTACATAAAAATTCCTATAAAACAACTACTACTAAGACATTACACTATATTATTGAACTATATACTTAGTTCATGACATAAAAACTGAATACACTTGTAAAATAGAATACGTGGATTTAAAACATCACAAGAAATATTTAAATAAAATTCTCACTTAAAATTTTGAAAAACAGCGTTCCGAGATC